CACCCTACCCCAACGCCCTGCCTTTCTCACTCTACCCCAACGCCATGACTTTCTCTCTGTTCCCAGATGCCATGACTTTGAAAACATACCAATGTCTTGGAACGGCCGTTGCACCGGCTGGCGGCTGGCTCTGTTTTCTCAGAGCCTCACTGTTTATCTTCGGAGATAAATAATCCATCGCGGGCCAAGCTCACTCTCTATGAGCCATAACCCGCTCACTGAATTTACAATATCCGGCATTGAACTCTCTCGACACGTCCTGGAATCGGAAGCTGGGGTTCATCAATACCACAGTCATCCACTGCGTTCTCTAGGCTTTCTGCGGCGCCAGTAAATCTCGCCCGTCTGAAGTCCTAGAGCTATTGTACCGGGTATCAACGTGAACGTCACGTTAAGAAGCTGGCAGGCAGAGGCTTTCCAGCACCACTGCAACCGAACAGAAACGCTGACCGAGACCACCAGCAGCACAGCTATTTCCATAACAAAAGGAAAAATACCAATTTTGATTGCGGATCCGTGTGTAAGCCCATCCGCCCAAACGCATGAGTAAGCTTGTAGCAGGCAAGCGAAGGTCCGTTGGCCTTATGATGGTCATCTCCTGTCACAGAATAATACCAATAACACATATACCAAATAATAATACCAAAATACCATAAGATACACAATAATAGGAATAATACCAAAACACACACACACACACACACACACACACACACACACGTATATATATATATATATATATATATATATATATATATATATATATATATATGATGCATTCTATACACAAATATTTGAGCATAGATACCAGTTCTCAGCTCGCGCTCGATAAGCCTAAGTTATAAGTAGCGTGCAACCAATTACTTTCCAAGCTACACCAAAGTGATTTACAGCCGTAACAGGAAACGTTTTGGCGAGAATTCTCTATTTGCATGTTTTCTTATTCAATTATGAGGGCAAATATGGGCTGTGACTGATCCATGGATTATCCCGAGTGGTTTCACAGCGACTATCTATGCTAGTATGCATCACGTGACACAATGACGAAAGCACGCAGCCTTCGAGTGTGTTTGTGTCGCAAGAACATACTGAGAGAGGAAAGATGCTCACATAGGCAAACTAGACTGCAGTACAAGACGAATCCATATTGCCAAGCCAATGTGTCGGAAACACTACGAAGGCATCGGTTTTACCATACTGGCAAGGTCTAGACGAGCCTGCGGGTTACGTTCTTTTGGCGTCTACAACCTGCAGCTATTTGCAGATGTAAAAATTATAATATCAGTGAAATATGGTCGCATAATTACATATAGTATGCCACAAATATCAATCAGACTGACTGAACTTAACTCTAGCATCCTTCTACTACTCACGGCATACATTCTGCTATAACTTACATAGATCTGCGCCTGGTAATGTCGCAAAAGCAGGCAGCCTTTTTAGATAAATTATTGCACAATGCAGACTCTTTGCTCAAAAGAAAGGATGTCTTTGCCCGGTAATAGCTTACATCGTCTCTTTAGTGGAAGTGCTGCACGAAACGCTTTTTTGCCACGCCAAAGCACTGTGGGAATGCTCTCATGAGAATGCGACAGATCACTTAAAAAAGGTGTCTATATCATATAGAGCCTGGAAATGTCGTCATTTTCCAGCGGATCACGTCACGTTCACGGGACCGGAAAATTGACAGGATTCATGAAACTTTTTCAGGAATACGTTCGGAAAGAACAAAGATATAGGAATGCTTCACTCTTCACGATATTGAAGAATGTATCAGATATGATGACATAAGCTCATTTATAACGGTATGTATGCACGGTCGATAGTGAACCACGGCACGATCAATAGTGTGCGTGCACCATACTGCCTCCCAAGAAAATGACAACACAGAAAATTACAATCACGATGATACCAAACTCAGCTTCCAAAGAACCTAGTTTGCTTACTCTAACTCCGCGATAGGCGAACACCCGAGACGCTCGCACTCTCCTGACTTGACGCAGTCAGCACAGCCACTGTCTGCCAGGGCAGCGATGTCCGTGCATCGGCTCCAGACAGCCCAGAGTTGTGAGACAGGTCATCTGCGGCAGTATCTCGCAGCGATTCTGCCGCGGACTTCTCCAGCAGGGGCGAGTGTAGTACTGGGGCCGGGGACGTCGCAGGGATGACCGATCTCGGCGCGTGCGAGAGAGGCGCGCGCAGGTCGAACACCGTGAGGCCGCACGGCACAGAAACCAATGGTGACACGGCCGTCGCAGGGATGACAGAGCTCGGTACGTCTGAGAGAGGTGCGCGCAGGTCGGACGCCGCGGCCTCCGACGGTGGCGCCACCTCTGCAGGAGCTGAACGTGATACCCCGGACGGGGGCTTCCCCTGGTCGTCGTGACGGGAGGCCAGCGTCAGCGTCAGCGGTCACCTGAGGAGATCCTGCAATGGTACCGTCACGCCTGCGCCTCATCTGGACGGTGTGCCGTCGCCGGAGCGGTGAGCCGTCGCCAGAGCGGTGTGCCGTCGCCAGAGCGGTGTGTCGTCGCCAGAGCTGTGAGCCGTCGCCAGAGCGGTGAGCCGTCGCCAGAGCGGTGTGCCGTCGCCGGAGCGGTGTACCGTCGCCAGAGCGGTGTGCCGTCGCCAGAGCGGTGAGCCGTCGCCAGAGCTGTGAGCCGTCGCCAGAGCGGTGTGCCGTCGCCAGAGCGGTGTGCCGTCGCCAGAGCGGTGAGCCGTCGCCAGAGCGGTGAGCCGCCGCCAGAGCGGTGTGCCGTCGCCAGAGCGGTGAGCCGTCGCCAGAGCGGTGAGCCGTCGCCAGAGCGGTGTGCCGTCGCCAGAGCGGTGTGCCGTCGCCGGAGCGGTGAGCCGTCGCCAGAGCGGTGAGCCGTCGCCAGAGCGGTGAGCCGTCGCCAGAGCGGTGAGCCGTCGCCAGAGCGGTGAGCCGTCGCCGGAGCGATGAGCCGTCGCCAGAGCGGTGCGCCGTTACCAGAGCGGTGTGCCGTCGCCAAAAATCCTCCAATCTGATGGCATACAACACAGGCCCATCGATACCGACGATCCTTCCAGGAGCCCACTGTGGTCCAACACAGTAGTTTCTTGCAAATACAGGATCCCCGACGTCAAATTTATGATCTTCCTTTACCATGGAATCGTGGTTGTCCTTCTGGGTCGCCTGTTGAAGTACCACCCTCGACAGCATGTCTGGATGCAGCAGGTCCAGCCAGCCTCGGATGAGACGGCCAACCACGAGCTCTGAGGGCGTGACTGACGTGGTCCTGTGGGATGTGATATGCTAACGGAGCAGCCATCGAGGCAGAGTGACTTCCCAGTTGTGGTTGCCCCATTGCGAAGCCAGCTTCACGTCACGCACCGCACGCTTAGCAAGGCCATTCCCCTGGCTATGACGAGGTTCAGTTGTTTTGCGATGGGCACCATTTTCTTGCAGGAAGTTTTGAAAAGTCCGCAGATGTAGACGAGGCAGCGTTATCAGTGGCATTAATGTCTGGGAGTTTCCACCTAGAGAACATTCTCCGCAGTCTTACAATCGTCTTGGAGCGGACACTTCCGCAGATCTAGACCTCGGTCTTTTTGGAGTACGCGTCCCTGCCACCAATACGTACTTTCCCTTGGTGGGCTCCACGGAATCCAATCTCGACAGGTGAAGCATTCCAAAATGCTGATGCAAATCGTATTCAGTGTCGGTTGTGGTGTGGATACTGCCAAGAAAAAGTGGCAGCAATCGCCAGACGGCAGGAAGAGTCCGTCTACACAGTGAAAAATGTTTAAAGCAATGCTGCTATTATGACATGATCGATGCTAATGGACTACTGATATATCCTAGCATGCATAGTACGACACGTAACAGCCGAGTGCCAGATCCATAACGCTCGTGCAGGAAATATTCGCTTTCTTTGTGGGAGTGGCACGGAAATGGCCACGTCCGAGGACGCATTATACCGGCTCAGGCGGCTGCCGGCATGAGAGACTACGATCTATCACACCCTGTCCTTTGAACGAGTTATGACGCGCGGGGGACTGCACGCCCCAGCACAGCACTTCAACACGCGGAAGGCCCGCCGCTGCAGCAACACTAGCCAGACGCGCGTATTGGACCGGCTCGAAATAAGGACCGGCACAGGCGAACGATGATTTGTTGATCGGGTGACCAATGCGGCGCCTTGGACGTCCTTCCCGCTGGCCTTAAGGGCGAGAAAAGGCCGAAGAGACATTCAGGGTACGACTGAGGTGCCGTCTTATGTCAGCTTCTGTGAATGAATGACCATCCATGCGAGCATCGCATGGTTGCGTTTTCTCCGGGTTTGTTTCCACGATGTTTTAGTTACAGACGCTTGAATGGAAAAAATAGACGAAGGGGTTAGCTGTTAGCAAACAAGCAAACAAAGGTGGCAGCATGACGCAGATAGTCACACATAAGTGCCAATATACACGTAATCTAGCCCATGTGTTGACCACCAAGCCAGATAGATCCCGAGTGGGGGAAAGCCCTTTAACGGAAGGGCCAGTGGGTGGCCCCATATGTCGTCTGAACATCCGCGGTCCCGGTCACTGGTCCCTGCTGTCGTACACAGCAGGGAAGACACCATAGCTGTGTGTGGAGAGTCATACGCACGCAGCATAGCCACTGGTCCCCGATGTGTGGTGTGTGGAGTGTCATGGACCGGCCACCTACACGCGGTCCGGACGCATGCGTGTCTGCCGCCGGTCCTTTGTAGTCGTGCCACCAAATGCGTTCAACTACGCTCCACTTCTCTTTCCTGTTATCAAAGTGGCCTGGCGCGGACCGCCCAGACGGACCGCCCGGGTGACCATCGACCCGACCTGTGAGGGTCAGCCAGGCCCGGGCCCGACCGGACCCTCCACAAACTGATCAACAGCCGGCGGCGGCAGCGGCGGCGGGGGCGGCGGCGGCGGGGGCGGCGGCGGGGGCGGCGCGCGCCCGCCGCGCGGCCAGCCGCCGCCGCCGACGCCGCCTGTCGTCGGAGCGCGCCGCTCGTGTGGGGCGGACGCGGCGATGGTGCGTGGAGGGGGGCGCCGCCCGCCGCCGGCCCCTGCCCTCTAGCCGTCGACGAGCACTGTCAGGGCCCGGCCACCGGAACGCTCGCGGACTGCCGCGCGCTGCTCATGCGGTGGCGCGCTCGCCAGCTAGGTGAGTCTTGACGGGGTCGGCCGGCGGTGTGCTTGCAGTACGATGCTAATGATACAGCTATTGCTGGTGAAAGCTAGGAGCTGATAGGTAGCTTATGGGGATATAAAGGACCGCTGTGCTTGAATACGGGTATTTCAGCCGCTTACATTTCAGCGAATGTGACGCGAACCCATAGTGAATCTGACTGGCTGCAATATCAGCGCTGGCCGAGCGAGACCAGCCGCGCGCACAGTCTCGCCGCCGTATGAGGTGTACAACTTTTACTTTCAGCTCGAAATTAAACGCAAAATCTTAAAGCTATTGAGCAGACCGCTTGGCAACCCCGTCATTCCTCGATGTTTTTCCGCTGTGTTTTTATTCGCTCCTCCGCTGCGGTTCCGTTGAAACTCCCACGCTTGCGTTTAGATCTCACCCGTTATCATCACTTTGTTTGCCCTGCGGACTCAAAACATCTGCGTTCGAAAGTAAAAAAAAATGATAAGTGTTTGCAACATGACGCATTCTAGGGAATGCCATAGCTCGGTGATTTAGAGCAGCGTACTTGTAACAAAAGGTTATTAAGTTGAGATGCTCTGCTAATGACGCTTTGCTCTGCTTTCTAGGCGCTCTACTTTGCTCTGAACAATGGGTGACGAGCCTTGTTGAATGTATTTCAGTCCGTTTTTCGTTTACGGGAGCGGCGCATTCTGCCGTAACCCTGGCAGCAGCGCTAACTGACTTAAGCTCTTGGCGGATGGAAGTACATTTAGAGCACGGTGGGACTTTGTATCTCTTCGAAAAGATTTTGCCCCCATTTTTGTATCAGCCTCAATCCATTTAAAGTCTGCAAATAAACGAATCTGATTCTTGCTTCAAATGTGAGGGGCATTGCGTCCCCTAGCAAGCATTATGAATCTCCGCTGGTGACTGGAATGTTGCATGACGAGTCGTCATCATTTCCTGCTTGTCAGAATGCGCCTTTTTCACCCAGGTGCCGCTGCAACAGCGTTACGCAACGGGTCATATTGTGCGTTTAATTACCAAGTACTCTGCCATCCAATGCTTCCGCTTAATGACGCTATTTTCATTCATGGCATGCATGGACTGACCGCAGCTGGGCATGGAGCGGCCACCATGCCGCGCTATCGGGCTACGACATGGGAGGCCCAGCCTTCCGAAGGGACGCCACGGGGTAACACCACAATACCGTAGAGGAAAGATGGCCCGTGTTGCCATGGTGACCGAGTATTGCCGCGCAATTTCATACCAATAATCGTTACATCTAGATGGCTGCATCAGTCAATATTGTTCTGTAGTGCGTCGCTCGCGATTTATTCAGACTGGCATCACCGGATGATAGACTGCAGAGCGATCTGTCTTATGTTGTCGGCTGCTTCCGTATACACTTCTAGCGATGACATTGTACAAACTGTTCACATGTACTGCGCAGATAACGTGCGATAGGTTGCAGGGAAGACCGCGTCTAGACGTTAAACGGGAACATGTTACAGTGTCGACATCTTAAAATCGTGAAGTTCGGTTGCGGCAAATATGTAGCTGTAGCTATTCTGCAACCATATAATGAATGTGTCACGCTAATTTTAGACTGCTAACGCTGCAGTTCCCGGTGTTATAGCAAAAAATCCTTTTGCATTTGGCAAAGTTTCCTTAAGTGAAAGAGTGTCTGATCCTCACAAAGCTTGAGCAACTGTTAGCTGAAATAGCTCATTAACATCTTACATTGGTTTACCTTCGGGTTTTGATGGTCAAATTTACATCCATTATGGGTGGAGCTCGCCGCGTTTAAATATGACATCGGTGTGTGTTGATAGGCTGTGCAATGCCTTCGGGAAGGAGGAAAAGATAAGAAGGAGTGGTTATCATTTAACAAACCTCACATGTGCAAAGGAATACCCTCAAACTGCCGCACACTCTGATCAACGCATTTGCATTTCACTGAGTTGCAGCGTATTTTTTTAACACGCCACATGCGAAACTTTCCACCAATGTTTTGTTTCTTCTGCCTTCATTTACAGCGGGCGGGTGGGTTGCTGAACCAACGGAACATAATTCATAAAGCAGAATAAGAACAAAGGAACCCATGGCTGGCTAAGATTGAATGCGACAAGCGTATGGCGAGCTTCATACCGAACTGTAAAATTATAATAGCTTACACCAGGATGTACTGTTGCATGCAGACTACAGTCACGTTTCATCTGTTAGACCGTCCCGATTTATTTGTGGAAATACACATAAACTAAACCTGGTCTCCACTAACCATCCCTGTCGTTGAAACTTATACAATCCATGTCGGTCGCTTGCAAGTTCGCTGTTTGTGAGCGTACGACAGCAGCAGCAAGCTGCGAAATTGCGATGTGCGGTTTCTGCCTTTGGTGAACAGAGCCTGACATCAGAGGGATAAGACGCAGTAAACTAACAGAGCGACATGGATTTACGTCCATGTGTCATTCTGTACCACATTAATCATTTGTCAATAGGCATTTTTGGCGTGGATAAGGCTCTGCACCTCCTTCTCCTTCGCTATGTGATTAGTTTATTATGGTAACCACTCGTGAAAAGTGCTGAATCGTTGGGGGCTCAGAACAGAGACATGGACATCTTTTGGCTAGACGAGACACATCAATCGTGATTGTTGACCTACAACTATAATCAACACACAAGCTGGAGAGACTGACTCTGCTACAGTACTCAAAATAGGAAAGCGGATGCACTGTCATGTCGTTGGCGCAGTTCGTGCGCCCTCTCTACTACTCAATTTCTATGCCAACAAACGCAGTGCCATCAGGTGTGACCGAGTGGGGCGGAAAGTATGTTAATTTGATTCTTGTCATGCAACGTCACACACAAAGCCCTTGAATTTCAATAAGTGGGACAGAAGGTATGTTAATTTGATTCTTATCATGCAACGCCACACCCATAGCCCTTGAACTTCAGTGTTAATGATGAACAGCCAAGACCCCTCCCCAAATACCCGTGATGCCACCCGAACAATCTGATGTCACCCTTCTACAGCTGTTTTCATTCTCACAGCTTTCTCTCGTCCTCTCCCACCTTCCCTTTATCCTTACTCGTTTTCACTTCGGACTCTAAAACGTTTGCAGTGTCCAGGCTGGAGTTCCTGTCGGGTTGGGATCCAGACCCATCTTTTACAAATCGGCTTGGAGGCTGTGACTTGTACTAGATATTTTGGATGTGGGAACGGTCCAAAATATCCAGTAAGCAGAAAATGAAGCCCCTTCCCCCCAGATATGTTGTGCCTTTGCGCACCGAACATGACGGCATAGAAGCAGTTCCATCCAAAAACATTTTCAATGCGTACATTACCCGCGGAACATCCGTACGTGGTAACGAATGTCCTGATGACATCCACGCCGATCGAATTAAGGACATGACATGTCTTCCACCAAATGCCGATGGTCGGCCTAACGCATCAGCTGGCCGCCAATGCAAGAGTCCGACATTCTGTCCCTCTACCGGGCGACGAGATGGCGACAGTCACCGCGCGCCCACCGATTCAATTAAGCTTCTCGTCGCCCCGTTAACTTTGCGCCGCTCATTAGGAGCACCGCGCTCGCCGAACTAAATACATCAGGCTGGCGTGGCCTGAATCCAGCTGCTGGTTGGTGCTAAGTGCATGCTTCAATACCCGTGCTCGGGCTTTTATTAAGCCATTGTCTAGGCCCTATCAGTGCTGAGGCTTATTCCTAGTCGGGAGCCATTGAACACCCAACGTCACTGGAACAAAGTAAGTCGTTGCAGACCAGACCAGTGGAAGCCTATTGCTAGTCTGGGTGTGCATGAGATGGGAAAATAAGCTGGCCCAGTTCTGCCCGCGGCAGAGCCGTCTGGAAGCGCGTGCGGGAATTGTAAACAGATGGGCCAGCGATGCCAATGCTGTTATGATGCCGGCCGGGCACGACAAAATATCGGGTGACATATCGTGGGGGAAAACCGGCCGAAACTTCGTTAGGTAGGTCCCTGCATCGCAGCTTTTTGCACGAAAATGTCCGTAACCGCTAAGGTTTGCGCTTCGTAAGCATCCACAGCGTAGAAATTTGTTTGGATTTGCGAATTGTTGCGTGCATAAACATGCGTGTGCACAAATATTACCGTAACGAATGTTAGCTATCACGAACGTCTGCGATACAACCGTCTGCCATATAACAACGTGCACATACGAACTTCGCACTTGTGCACGTCTACGATGAGAACATCTGCACTTAACGAGCATTGCTTTAGGAATACCTATTATTGTCACCATCGCAAAACTGTCGACCGATTTACGCGGATCTTGATGACAATAGACGGATACACTCAAACTGACATGAAGACAAACGTGTGCAGACATTTACTTAAGTTGCTCAGTGCACTAGCGAGGAACGTTATCCACATAGATTTAGATTTAGTATTAGCCTTATTCCTCGGAAAAACCAGGAGAATGAAGATATAGTTAGGTTAATATTTCGGCAACATGCCCTCATCGAAACAATAGCAGAAGTGAATTTACCTCCGTCTTATCTATGTGTGCAGACATTTTTCATCATCTGCTTGCTTGACTGGGGATTAGTTGAACCCTGCATGTTCACTGGAGCTCCGACGGTGAACACTGCCAGAAATGAATGCATCTCCTCTGATCACAGGCTTCGAAAATCAAACTTGTTATATCGGCTCGGTTTCGTTGTTCCTCGGCTACCATCGATGTGAGATATCGTGATGATGGACGGCCTCATATGTCTCGTTAAACTCGAGCAAACTATTGCATCAGGTGTGTTGGTAAACAAGCTTTACTGGCTGCTGGCATCTCTTGGTGAGATTCCATGTTGATGGCCGTGCTCCGTGTTGACGTTGAACTGCTGTTATGTTTTAATAACGTTGAATTTGGAGCCATGCCAGGCCAATGAGAGCTCATCTATCCGCTACATGCAGCAGAGGAGCTGTAAGTTTACTCAGAGATTTCCACCGTCAATTGCTGTGCAAGATGCTTTGTAGATAATATTATG